CCCCTCCCCTCCGAGTGACAAGTGGGGCGTGAAATAGACAATAGATGGCGTGACGACCCTAGCAAGAGACTCTACACCCATTTAAAACAGCTGTTACCATTGTTGAACATATCCCAAGACACAACAAGCAGGCGGCGAGCAAGGTGTTTGTGGGGGGGGGGGTGTGGACTGGCCTGTTGGTGTGTGTGTGTGTATATACACGGTCAAGCTCCCGGGTTCCGCCCGCCTTTCTTTGAGCGGTAGTTGGGCTGGTGTTGCGCCTCGCGACCTTCATTTGTGTGTGTGTGTGTGTGTGTGTGTGTGTGTGTGTGTGTGTGTGTGTGTGTGTTATTGTCCGCGACAAATTGTGCATGGAGTTGGCTTCTACAGTATTTTATTATGTCTTCGCTCGCTGTCTCTCTCTTGTTTTTTTTTCCTCTCTGTATCTGTCCTGTCTCTTCTTTCTCTAAACTGTTTCTGTTCTGTGTTCCCGTCTCCCTCTTGCCGCTACTGTATTCTCTTGTCTTCCCCTTGTTTTCTGTCACCTCTTTCTCCCTTTGTCTCCTGCTGTCTCCGCCTATCTCCTCCCGTCTCATCCAGTTTCTCTTTATCAATTTCCTTGTCGTCCACTATCGTTCTTTGTCACTCCTGTCTTCCCTTATCTTTTCCTTTCTCTTCCTTGCCATCTGTTTCGGTTATCTCTTCGACTGTCTAATACTCCTGACAGTCACAGCCCGTCCAATCTCGCCTCACCTCTCCGGGGAAGACCATTTTATATACACATGACCCCCTCCCTCGCCTGTCCCTTCCCCTCTCCCTCTGTCTGTCTCTCTCTCTCTCTCTCTCTCTCTCTCTCTCTCTCCTCTCTCTCTCTCTCTCTCTCTCTCTCTCTCTCTCTCTCTCTCTCTCTCTCTCTCTCTCTCTCTCCAGTGTTTCCCCTCTTTTCCTTACCTCCCATAATCCCTTTTCCCCTCCCATATGCCCTCTGCTGTCTCACTGCCGTCCCCTCGGGGTCATAGCCGTGACCACCACCATTGATTGTGTCAAACCTCTACTCCTTTGAAGCCCAAATCACGTGTGTTAAAAACAAAAACATTCAACGCTAAGGGAAAGGGGGTAGAGAGGGGGGAGGGAGGGGGGCACAGCAGCAGGTGTGATGGGAAGAGGAAGGGGGGGGGAGTGCACGCACACACGCACGCACGCACGTACGCACACACACGCACGCACGTACGTACACACACGCACGCATCTGAAAATTCTGGAAAGGAAACGTTAAGGGAAGGATTTTATTGGCTAAAAGTGTCAACATTTGAGAAACTTTACTACACTGCCATAGTGATTAAATGAAAATAAAATGTAAAGACACTTTATTTATTTATAGGGTCGTAAAAGACCCATAAATTGGGTCTTGTCATTCATCTTTATTTAATGTAAACATTAGCAGCATGCCGTCTTATGACGTCACAGCCCGTCACCACGTGGAGACACACGTGTTGTTGTTGTTTAAGATTCGCTACTTAACTTCCAAGCAGCACGGTCTATGGTGAGCCCGTAATGGACTTACCTGGCACAGGAGCTGGGCTGTAACTCACACAGTAAATAGTCGAGAAAGATACGAGTGAGATGGTTGATAAGCGACCGGGAGAGTGAAGATGAGTTAGAACGGAGACTTGAATAGGGTGCTTTTCCAGGCTTCCATTGTCACACTTTTCCTGCTAAAGCTGGAGTTTAAGCGTGATCTCTCGTCCTGTTGTTGGCAGCATGTCGTCATTCTCCCGTCACCTCCCATGCAGCTGCTGCGAGACGCGTCTAGGTCGGGGGTGGACAGGTGGTTGGTTTCCCAGGTCGAGACGGGACACGACGCCCTGTCAAGTCGGGCTGGAACACCCACACACCCCCACACGCTGTAGGTCTAGAGTCTAGACCTACATGGCCCCACATTCTCCGGGCTAAGGTGAAAATGTGGGACATGACACCTCTTCCCATCCCAAGATGGAAGAGGACTACACCCCCATCCCATAACCCATACCCACACACACACACACACACACACACACACACACACACACACACACACACACACACACACACACACACACACACACACACACACAGGTCAAGGCAAGAGACCCCAGGAGCGTCACTGATACATCACCATTTCGCCTACGACATGTAATTGGATTTTTGACGTAGAAAAATGATGTGATCGCAGAGTGGGATCAGCGCTGATTGGCTCTTCCACTTCCTTCCCCTCGGCCGCCATCTCCCTCCTCCTCCTCCTCCTTACTGCTGCTTGTCCTCCTTCCTGATCTTTATCGCAACTTCCTTCGTCCACGGAGCTGCTGCTGGCGGAGGAGTCACCTCTCTCTGGTCACCCCTTCACACACGGGTGGAAACAACACACACGCCGATTTGGAAAGCGTTTGTGTGTGTGCGTGTGTGCGTGTGTGTGTGTGTGTGTGTGTGTGTGTGTGTGTGTGTGTGTGTGTGTGTGTGTGTGTGTGTGTGTGTTCTGTCCTAGGCCAGGGTTCATAAAGCATTTACTTATACACTTGCGAAGCCTGTACATCTTTCCTCAATCATGGGCGGCCTTTGTTTACATTTAATCGACAGTTTGAGAGCTCTGGAGCTCTATGAGGTTGTTGATAACAATAATAACCTCAGGTTACGAAGATGCCAAGTTCGTGCACTGTTTAATACATGTAACGAAGGTCGCCATGTGTGTGTGGGGGGGGGGGGGGGGAGAAAAGATGTATAGATTTCTTAAGCGGTTGCGTCAATGTTTGGTGAAACCTGGTAGACGGTTGGCGTCCCGGAGGTTCGTGAGTCAACATCTGCGTACTCAACATCTGCGTACTCAACATCTGCGTAATCAACATCTGCGTACTCAACATCTGCGTATTCATGTTTCTTCTCTCACGCACGCTATTCGTTCATTCGTAAGATGAAACTACCGTCGTATATGGTCGTACTGGAAGAGCAAGGTTGCTTCCTGGAAGCTAATCTTGCGATTACCTTGCATTGCTTCCGAGGATCAACGTCCCCGCGGCCCGGTCTCTGACCAGGTCTCTTGGAAGCGGACGGTTTCTTGCTGGAATAGAGAGCAGGAATAGAAGGAGAGCAGAAAGAGAAAATATTCTCTGCGAAATACAGAGAAATAGAGAAAATACAGGATAAATATAGGAAGACAAGAGACGATAGGGAAACACTGAACACAAATAAAAGTAATAAAGAAAGAACAAGATGAACAAGAAGGAATAGAGGCAGTCGGATGCAATAAAAAGAAACCGGTTAGAGGGGGAGGAAAATGGAAGAGGCAGAAAGTGGGCAAAGATGGAAGAGAGGAGAGGAGAGACGCAAGCAAACACAAGCGAAAAATGACAATTCAAGAGAGAAGGGGGAGGGGTGAGCTGAGTTAAGGGGGCAAGGAACGAAGAGAAGGGAGGGAGACAAGCAAGAATGATGGGAGACAAGAGAGAGAAAGAGAGAAAGGTGAGAGACGAGTGAGATAGAAGCAAAGAAACAGTAGAGAGGGTGAGAAGCGTGAACTTTATAACCTTACAACCCAGCTTAGTGAATGTAAAGTTTCAAGACTCATCTGTTTGTATATCCCAGCTGTTTAAAACATTGTACATACCCAGCTGTATGTACATATAGAGAGAGAGATAGTTATATACATGCAGCTAGGGGGAACTATGTACATCCCCCCAGCTTTTTAAACCATCATTGAACCCCCTAACATACACAATATATACATAATAGTTTAAGGGCTTCTGTCTCTGGTGTTAAGGACCTTGCTAGCTGACATAGACGACTGTGAGAGCAAACTGCGATGTACACATAGAATGAGCGACTATTTGTAGGAATGAAGTGTCTGCCTGATGGCACAAGCCGGCCTGACTGTGTGCCAGATGGCAGGAGCCGGCCTGACTGTGTGCCAGATGGCAGGAGCCGGCCTGACTGTGTACCAGCTGGCAGGAGCCGGCTTGACTGTGTGTGTGTGTTTAGCCTCGTCCGTCTCTTTGACCAGGAGAGCGACGGTGTGCTCTTCCAGGAATTTTATAGATGATCCTCTTTTAGGGTGTAAGGGCGGGAGGAGGGTGTCAAGGCCGTCCCGTGTGGCGTCGGCGCCATGTTGCTGTCGCTGACGGTCGTCGTTCGAATCCCAATAATACGACGACTTGAGCAGGGGTCGCCTGTGGCCATGTATGCAACATGTAAATGCTTGAGTTCAGCCATGTGAACTTGTACATATAATGAGAGTACGAGTGTGTAGCTGGCTACATATCCTTCCCTCTCGCCCCGGGGCACGAGAACGAGCGTTTAGTATATTCTGGCAATTGGGTGGTTTGAGGTGGTCAATATTTGGTTTGATGATAAGAGCCAGATTGTCCCAGTTTATGGCTGGCAGTCTGCGTGATGCGCTGATGGATGGGGCCCGTTCCCCTCTCTCTCTCCCATACTCTCTACATTCCCCCTTCTTACTCAGCGAATACACCCAGAGGTATACCCCCCGCTCTTCAGTATACTCAGAGTTTACCGTTGGGGTCATGTGTCCCACCAGGCCGGTGAGGCACAGGGACCGTCCGCTGATGATCCTCATTGGTCATAAATGCCTCGTCTGTGTACCTCATAAATCTTTGTATGTCAACTCATTTTTCTTTATCCCTCAGTGTGATATAGCCATCAGAGCCTTCCCAGAGACTCCCCTGACACACACACACTAAGGAACAATAATGTTCGCGATGCACAGAAACTCTCGATCTTTTTTTTTGGGCCAACGAAATAAGACATTTTGCATCTAATTTCCTCTATAAATGTCCTCAACACCAAATGAAGACGCTCTCGCGGTTCCTATACACTCATAACTTGGAGGATAGGCGGGGCAGAGGGGACATGATCACGCCATACACGGTACTATGAAGCGTAGACAAGGTGGGAAAGCATTGCCGCGTTAAATTCAAATAGAGAAAGAAGACAGGTGTGGGACGTGTTAACACAAATGTATGGAAGAAACGCGACTATTCATACCACGTACGGATGGCCCCGTAGGTGGAGGGCCCCCGTAGGTGGAGGGCCCCCGTAGGTGGAGGGCCCCCATAGGTGGAGGGCCCCCGTAGGTGGAGGGCCCCCGTAGGTGGAGGGCCCCGTAGGTGGAGGGCCCCCGTAGGTGGAGGGCCCCGTAGGTGGAGGGCCCCCGTAGGTGGAGGGCCCCCGTAGGTGGAGGGCCCCGTAGGTGGAGGGCCCCCGCAGGTGGAGGGCCCCCGTAGGTGGAGGGCCCCCGTAGGTGGAGGGCCCCGTAGGTGGAGGGCCCCGTAGGTGGAGGGCCCCGTAGGTGGAGGGCCCCCGTAGGTGGAGGGCCCCGTAGGTGGAGGCCCCCGTAGGTGGAGGGCCCCCGTAGGTGGAGGGCCCCGTAGGTGGAGGGCCCCGTAGGTGGAGGGGCCCCGTAGGTGGAGGGCCCCGTAGGTGGAGGGCCCCGTAGGTGGAGGGCCCCGTAGGTGGAGGCCCCCGTAGGTGGAGGGCCCCCGTAGGTGGAGGGCCCCGTTGGTGGAGGGCCCCGTAGGTGGAGGGGCCCCGTAGGTGGAGGGCCCCGTAGGTGGAGGGCCCCGTAGGTGGAGGGCCCCGTAGGTGGAGGCCCCCGTAGGTGGAGGGGCCCCGTAGGTGGAGGCCCCCGTAGGTGGAGGGCCCCGTAGGTGGAGGGGCCCCGTAGGTGGAGGCCCCCGTAGGTGGAGGGCCCCGTAGGTGGAGGCCCCCGTAGGTGGAGGGCCCCGTAGGTGGAGGGGCCCGTAGGTGGAGGGGCCCCGTAGGTGGAGGGCCCCGTAGGTGGAGGGGCCCCGTAGGTGGAGGCCCCCGTAGGTGGAGGGGCCCCGTAGGTGGAGGCCCCCGTAGGTGGAGGGCCCCGTAGGTGGAGGGGCCCCTTAGGTGGAGGCCCCCGTAGGTGGAGGGCCCCGTAGGTGGAGGCCCCCGTAGGTGGAGGGCCCCCGTAGGTGAAGGGCCCCGTAGGTGGAGGGCCCCGTAGGTGGAGGGGCCCCGTAGGTGGAGGAGGTGGTGGTCACGGTTGTGGAAGCGGGTGTGTGTTGTGGGGAAGTATTTTTATAGATGATGGAGGTGGTGTTCATCTCACTAATGGCTCGCTTGACCACACCTGGCACGCGTATACACGCACGCACGCATGCGCACGCGTACCCACACACACACACACACACACACACACACACACACACACACACACACACACACACACACACACACACACACACACACACACACACACACTTCCTAATGGAATGCATTAGACAGTGATGTGGTGGAGGCTGACTCCATACACAGCTTTAAGTGTAGATATGATAGAGCCCAATAGGCTCAGGAACCTGTACACCGGTTGATTGACAGTTGAGAGGCGGGACCAAAGAGCCAGAGCTCAACCCCCGCAAGCACAATTAGGTGAGTACACACAAAAGTGAAAAATGAAAGTGAAAATGAAAAAAAACGAAAGTTTCAAAAGTGAAAAATGAAAAGCAACAGAAGAATCCATGGTTCAAACAGGAATATGCGACAGCGAAGCAATTGAGTAAAAGAACATGGGTAAACTACAGGAACAACAGAACACCAGAGAGCAGGGAGAGATACCAGAGGGCCAGGAATGAGTACCTCAGAGTGAGAAGAAAAGCAGAGAGACAGTATGAAAATAACATCGCAATTAAAGCCAAGACCCAACCACAACTACTCCACAACCACATCAGGAGGAAAACAGCGGTGAAGGAACAAATGATGAAACTGAGAAAAGGGGAGAACAGATACACAGAGAACGACAAAGAGATGTGTGAAGAACTCAACAAGAGATTCCAGGAGGTCTTCACAGTAGAACAAGGAGAGGTCCCTGCACTAAATGAGGAGGCAAACCGAGCAACCTTGGAGGAATTTTACCTCACCAGTGATGAGGTCAAAAGGACTCTGTTGGAGCTGAATGTGTCAAAGGCTATTGGGCCTGACAGAATCTCACAGTGGATACTAAAAGAAGGTGCAGAAGCACTAAGGGTGTCACTCTCTATGGTGTATAACAGGCCACTGGGAACGGGAGACCTTCCGGAAAGCTGGAAGACAGCTAATATAGTCCCAATTTACAAAAAGGGTGACAGGCAAGAGGCACTGAACGACAGGCCAGTTTCCCTAACTTGTATACCATGCAAGGTGATGGAGAAGATCGTGAGGAAAAGGCTCGTAGAGCATCTGGAGGGAAACAGCTTTGTAACACACCACCAGCATAGGTTCAGAGATGGTAAATCGTGCCTCACAGGCCTAATAGAATTTTATGACCAAGCAACACAAATTAGGCAAGAAAGAGAAGGGTGGGCAGACTGCATTTTCTTGGACTGTCAGAAAGCCTTTGACACAGTACTTCACAAAAGGCTGTTATAAAAGTTGGAGCAACAGGCAGGAGTAAAAGGTAAGGTGCTCCAGTGGATAAGGGAGTATCTAAGCAATAGGAAACAGCGAGTAACGGTGAGGGGGGGAGGCATCAGAGTGGCGAGATGTCACCAGCGGGGTCCCACAGGGCTCTGTACTTGGACCCATCCTGTTTCTAGTATATGTAAACGACCTTCCTGAAGCTGATGCCTTTGCTATAAGGGTGAATTTTGCGGTACTTTAAATTGAAATAAATCACTGGAATTTTGACGTTGTGGGCATTAGCGTTATTATGAGTTATGTTACACCAGACAGCCGAGAGTGTAGAGGCGGGCCCAGGAGCTAATCCTCCTTGCAAGCACTCACAGGTAATACTGTAAGGTATTAAATCAAACATGGATAACCACTGAAAAAATGGGAAGAAAGAGAAATGGGGGTTAGAGAAGCGGGAAATGGGGGATAGACGAAGAGGGACGTGGGGTTAGGGGAATGGGATAGGGAAGAGGAGGAGGGAGGGGAATGGGATGGAATAGGTGAAGGGGGGGGATAGGAGAGGGGAATCCCGCCCCATTTACCGCCAGAGTCGTGTCTCTGAGAGCTAGACCGGGCGAACCAACCAGTCCGAATTACCTCTTTTTACTCCTTCATTCCCAGTTGATGGCTACTGCCACTCTTTTTCATGACCCAGTCAACGCTCACTTCCTTCCTGAAACGGTGGAAATGACGCATTTCCCTGTTGAGAGGAGAGAGGTGGGGGCCCCAAGCCTCCAGGGCGGGAGGCCCCTGCTCACTCACTTGTAGATTTACTGACTTATTTAGATGCCTGTTGTACTTGGTTGTAGTGGTGGTTGTTAGTGGTCTTATTGTTGTTGTGGTTATTGTATTGAACCGCCTTGTGGCTCACCTTCCTCACTGTGGTCGTCTTAGCATCAGTTGGTAGTTCGACTGAATGGTAAGAATTTATGTTAAGACTGTGAAGTAGAACTGGAGTAAATGATCACGCGTCCAGCGTGATGTCCACTCAGCCGCCGGCCCCTCTGTGTGTGTGTGTGTGAGTGTGTGTGTGTGTGTGTGTGTGAAGATTGGGGTGGGAATTCTTAAACACATGTTTACCCATACGGTGACCCGTGGGCCTTTTTTTTAGTGAAGCTGCACTGGTGTCCAGAGCTTGGCACTGCTGCCTCTCCCCGTCGATGTTCCACACGTCACTGCACTGTCCATACCATTATGTGGTCACTGTACGCGGGTCTATCGCGAGGTCTGACGAGCCGTCAGTACATGTTTTTCTCATGCTCTGCTTATATTGAGATGATTTCGGGGCTTTTTAGTGTCCCTGCGGCCCGGTCGTCGACCAGGCCTCCACCCCCAGGAAGCAGCCCGTGACAGCTGACTAACACCCAGGTACCTATTTTTACTGCTAGGTAACAGGGGCATGGGGTGAAAGAAACTCTGCCCAATGTTTCTCGCCTGCGCCTGGGATCGAACCCAGGACCACAGGATCACAAGTCCAGCGTGCTGTCCGCTCGGCCGACCGGCTCCCTTCCTCCATGGTGCCTTGAAATGCTACACGGGAAGAATTCAACATTCTCTGGAATCAAGGTATTGCGTTGCTGTGTTGCGTGCTATCGTGGTGGTCAAGGCGAGTAGCTATTTTGTATCTTCTCTCGAGTGGACAACTCTGGATAGCTTTTCAATTACTTCCCGTCTGAAAGAAAGAGTGGCGTGTTGACTCCTGTCACGTTACCGTCTTCAGTAGCAAGGTGTGGCGTGTAGATCTGTCTCGGTTCTTTGGTGTGGCGTGTAGATCTGTCTCGGTTCTTTGGTGTGGCATGTAGATCTGTCTCGGTTCTTTGGTGTGGCATGTAGATCTGTCTCGGTTCTTTGGTGTGGCATGTAGATCTGTCTCGGTTCTTTGGTGTGGCATGTAGATCTGTCTCGGTTCTTTGGTGTGGCGTGTAGATCTGTCTCGGTTCTTTGGTGTGGCATGTAGATCTGTCTCGGTTCTTTGGTGTGGCGTGTAGATCTGTCTCGGTTCTTTGGTGTGGCATGTAGATCTGTCTCGGTTCTTTGGTGTGGCGTGTAGATCTGTCTCGGTTCTTTGCTGACACTCAGAATGTCCAAACACTTGGTTTGGACGGTAGAGCGACGGTCTCGCTTCATGTAGATGGGCTTTCCCGACCGTCCAGGTGGTTTGGCACTATTCCTTTCCCCAGTCCCATCCCAAATCCTGATCCTCATCCCTTTCCAAGTGCTATATTGTCGTAATGGCTTGGCTGTTTCTCGTGATAATTCTCTCCCTCCCTCAGAGCGACCACGACTATTATTGTGTATTGGTTGTTAAATTCCAATGGTACCATGTTGTGATGTCACCATTGGCGTCGAAGGTGTCAAGTTTAATCCATGTATATTACTGTGTAATGTTCAGCTGTGAACAGAGACAGTGAAGGGTATATGGATGGTCTCCATATGATGGTATATAGGATATAAGTCTCCATAGGATGGTATATAGGGTATAAGTTGATCTCTTGAACCCGGATGTTCTACAGTGGGAACTAGTCTTGCCACTTGACTAACTTATCATCAAACAAGTGTGGTTGATGATAAGTATAAATAATTTATGGGATAACCTGCTCTTTACATAGCTAGATTTTACTGCCCTGAAATATGTTTCATTAATGGTCTCTCTTTCTCTGCTGTATACCAATACCGGCCACAGTCAAATAAACTTTGATGATGCTTTCTCTGCCGACAGAATGCCTTACTTAGGATGATCACCACGCGACATCTAAGTGACAGCCAAGCGATACCAATCGTTGTACTTGTGCCAAGACTCGCCCTCTGACTGAGACACGCAGAAAGAACCACAAGGCTCCGTACCTGAGAGCAGCTTACTGCTCTAGGTGACGCTATGTCTGCACCACGTCACTATAATGACGCCTTTTGCAAATGCAGTTCAGATTTCCTTCAGTTCGACACCGGAGACCAGACACGTTCTCTACCTCCCCCCCAGGTAGAGCACCGCGCCTCCGCTGGCGGCGTCTACTACCCCCCAGGTAGAGCACCGCGCCTCCGCTGGTGGCGTCTACTACCCCCCAGGTAGAGTGCCGCGCCTCCGCTGGCGGCGTCTACTACCCCCCAGGTAGAGCACCGCGCCTCCGCTGGCGGCGTCTACTACCCCCCAGGTAGAGTGCCGCGCCTCCGCTGGTGGCGTCTACTACCCCCCAGGTAGAGTGCCGCGCCTCCGCTGGCGGCGTCTACTACCCCCCAGGTAGAGTGCCGCGCCTCCGCTGGTGGCGTCTACTACCCCCCAGGTAGAGCGCCGCGCCTCCGCTGGTGGCGTCTACTACCCCCCAGATAGAGCGCCGCGCCTCCGCTGGTGGCGTCTACTACCCCCCAGGTAGAGCACCGCGCCTCCGCTGGTGGCGTCTACTACCCCCCAGGTAGAGCACCGCGCCTCCGCTGGTGGCGTCTACTACCCCCCAGGTAGAGCGCCGCGCCTCCGCTGGTGGCGTCTACTACCCCCCAGGTAGAGCGCCGCGCCTCCGCTGGTGGCGTCTACTACCCTCCAGGTAGAGCGCCGCGCCTCCGCTGGTGGCGTCTACTACCCCCCAGATAGAGCGCCGCGCCTCCGCTGGTGGCGTCTACTACCCCCCAGGTAGAGCGCCGCGCCTCCGCTGGTGGCGTCTACTACCCCCCAGGTAGAGCGCCGCGCCTCCGCTGGTGGCGTCTACTACCCCCCAGGTAGAGCGCCGCGCCTCCGCTGGTGGCGTCTACTACCCCCCAGATAGAGCGCCGCGCCTCCGCTGGTGGCGTCTACTACCCCCCCAGGTAGAGCACCGCGCCTCCGCTGGTGGCGTCTACTACCCCCCAGGTAGAGCACCGCGCCTCCGCTGGTGGCGCTCCATATACCCTTCACTCTAGCACTAAATGTTCCTGAAAAAGAACGAACTGATTGCTGGGAGACAATGGTGGCTGGCGGAAGCACCGCGGCGCACCAGGTGTGACCCGTACTGAGGAATATCGGGCCCGGTATTGTGAGAAAACGAATGAAGTGGCGCTGTCCTGGGATGGGAATCGAACCGGGACGCTGCGCTCGGTGGTAATACTCCTCAGGCAACGGGACCATTAGGCCAGGACATTCCCCGCCGGTATTGCAGGATTTCCCCACGCAAAAATCGTGAATGTTGGAGGTTACGGGCGCGGAAATCGTGAAGACGATGGTATGCATGACAGAGTGCACGGGAGGGAGGGAGGGAGAGGAGGATGGGAGAGAGAGAGGGAGAGAGAGGGGCGGATAGAAGGATGTGGCTACGAGGATAGATGGGGTGGTAATATTTATCCGGGTTATATATATGGTAAGGGAGAGAACTGGTTGGTAAGTGATGTTTTCTAATTAAATAAGTATACGATTGGTGAATAATGTATATTGTAACATTTATTTGATTCTCTCTCTCTCTCTCTCTCTCTCTCTCTCTCTCTCTCTCTCTCTCTCTCTCTCTCCCTGTCTCCCCTCTGTCCCTCCCTCCCTCTCCCTCCTTTACCGTATTTTTTCCAATCGTCTCGGCCTTCACCAATCACTGGGGTCTCTCTTGTGCACCTGTTCCTTTCCCAGTCGGCCTGTGGCGGCCCCCTCCCTCCCTCTCTCCCTCCCCTCTCCCTGCCTCACTCCTCGTCTCATCTCTCTCATCCACTCTCTCCTTGTCCTCTTCCCTTCACCCTCTACACTCTTCCCTCACTCGCCCCGCTCCTCACAGTGTGTTAAGCGGTGTTACGCCTTCCCATTTCTCCAAATGTTAACCTTATCTTGAGGTTATCTTGAGATGATTTCGGGGCTTTAGTGTCCCCGCGGCCCGGTCTTCAACCAGGCCTCCACCCCCAGGAAGCAGCCCGTGACAGCTGACTAACTCCCAGGTACCTATTTACTGCTAGGTAACAGGGGCATTCAGGGTGAAAGAAACTTTTGCCCATTTGTTTCTGCCTCGTGCGGGAATCGAACCCGCGCCACAGAATTACGAGTCCTGCGCGCTATCCACCAGGCTACGAGGCCCCCTTGTTTACCTGGCCCACCTTACCTTCGTTTATCTCTTATTTATTATTTTCATAATTCTCCTCTCGTTTTCCGTTTATCTTGTTTTGCTTTTTTTTATACCTTCATATCATTGTTTATGTTCGTCTAATTTCGTCTTCTCGTTCTCTGGTGTTATTCTTTCCACAATAGTTTATTGTCTTTCCTCTTTATTCTGTGTGTTCGTCTTCACTCTTCTCCAGTCAGCGTTTGCTTGACTTTTTCCTGCTGCCCAATACCTCTCCTCCTCCTCCTCCTCCTCTGGCCCATCTGTTTGTCTCCTGTCTGCATGGATGCTGGCTGGATGAGTTGACCTCTGGCAGGCTCTGCTGGATGAGTTGACCTCAGGCAGGTTCTGCTGGATGAGTTGACCTCTGGCAGGTTCTGCTGGATGAGTTGACCTCAGGCAGGTTCTGCTGGATGAGTTGACCTCAGGCAGGTTCTGCTGGATGAGTTGACCTCTGGCAGGCTCTGCTGGATGAGTTGTTGCACATGTTATGCTGGTGGTCAGATCTCTCTCTCTCTCTCTCTCTCTCTCTCTCTCTCTCTCTCTCTCTCTCTCTCTCTCTCTCTCTCTCTTGTAACACTTAGAGAGAGAGACGACCCCTACGAGACAGTTGAGATACCACCAGCTTGTGGTGTCCCATCTTCTGACTCAAGGATACAAGACAGACTAAGTGTGTTCAATAATCCAAGGATGGGGTCATGTTGTTCCCTTATGCCCATATTACCCCCCTTTCCTTCCCCTCGCCACCTCCCTCAGAATCCTTACCCCCCTCTCCACCTTCATCCTCCCTCCCATCACCCCCCCTTTTCCATTAGCCCCTTCTCCTACTCCCTCGACCCATCTCGTCACCGGTCAGGGGTCATACAGTGGCCACCAGCAAGATTGTCTCATTCCCTCTACCTTGTTCTTCCTTGCCACTACATTGTTACCACGTTCACTACCTTCCTGAGTCTCTCAGGAAGGTAGTGAACCTTTTGAGACTTTTTGCTGTTGCACCAACAACGATATATTTGATATGAGGATATATTTATATATGGTGTCTCAGCTTTCAAGGGTCTCTCTCTCTCTCTCTCTCTCTCTCTCTCTCTCTCTCTCTCTCTCTCTCTCTCTGCATTTTCTCCCTACAAGTTTACACTTTCTAATATCCCTTTAACAAGGGAAATAATTTATATTCATAATTTTGGGTAAATAAGACATGACAGGAGTAGTTTCTGACGCCTCGCCTTGTTGCCGGTGGACCTGAAGCCTCCTCGACGTATATAAGAAAATATAAGAACGCAATAATTAAGGAAACTGCCGAACGCGTATATTTGGCCCACTCGAAGCAGCTCCTATATATGTGATCCCATATGTATTCCTATATATGTGTAACCTACGCTAGAAAGGCTCCAGTGATCCCACGTGTGTTATCTTACCCGCGAGTCTCTTCCATAGATCAACAACCCTATTTCCAGACCGGTATTTACCCAGGTCTTTGGTGATTTTAAATGTATTTAAAATTAAATTAAATTAATTTATACGCCTTTCGTGCGGTCTATTATGTTGATATATTTAATACCTTATTATACTTCACCATGTGGCTAAATACTATGCCTCACGCTCTCCACAACAGCTCAGTGGTCACCTGTCGCTAAATGTGCGTCTTCTGTTGGAGAACCGAAGCGTAGAGTGTTCGGCTTCTCTCACCATGAATCAAGAACCACATCACATTTTAATTAATGGTTCATTGTGTCGCGGGACAGGAAGCCAGGTTATATGTACAGTACGTGTTAGACTTATATAGAGGTCCCCCCCCCCCCCCCCACAGGGTAGAATTACTGACCCTCCCCAGGATGTAACCCTTATAACAAGCTGACTAACTCCTGGATACCTATTTACTGATAGGTGGACAGAGGCATTAGGGGGAAAGGAAACGCGTCCAACCATTTCTGTCCCGCCCGGGACATTCCAACCCGGAATTGTAAGTCGAGAACGCA